TTGCGGCGGAAACGGCGTTGCGCGCGGCGGGCCCTCGGCCGTGACGCTGTCGTCGATTATCAGCCCGTAGTCGCCGTCCGCGTCGTCCTCCCGCTCCGCCCACTTGGCCAGCTTCTCCTCCAGCTTCATTTGCATGCAACCAAAATCCCCCTGCACACACGGGTGTTTGTCGAAATAGTACAAGTGAGAAATGTAAGTCTGCGATAAATATTAGTTGCTTTTTTCAAATACCGAAAAAGAAGAAGAAAAAAAGAAGGCTCTCCCCCACAAAGAAAAAAATACCCGCAAGCCTAGCTTTTAAAAAAACGGAAAGGAAAAAAAAACGAGGAACGCATACACGAAAATAAATAATACCGTAAATGCGCGCATATCGCTTCGTTTTTCCATCCCTCAAAAGACCTGCGATTGTTGGCAGCCAGAACACAGGGTGGCGCATCCCAGCCCGCTTCAAGTCCCTCAGGCCTCAGCGCTCCGGGTTCGGCATGAGGATCGCTCTTCCCAATAAAACCCACCCGTGGCTCTAATTTAGACTTTGGGTTCCTGAGCTTCCCTCCCCCCTTTTTTTCGCTTCCCGCCCTTTCCAGTGGTGGAAAAGAGTGCAAGAAATAGGCACGCCATGCATATTACAGCAGGCTGGTTGCAGCGATGCTCTCACGCCTGCTTTTTTTTTCGAAAATAAAAGAGCCCGCACTATTTGCTCTCAAGTCGGAGCCAAACTCTCTTTCAGCCGATCATTCCCATTTTCCTCGCTGATCCGATGCACGTAAATCCGACTCTGGCTACTTGCTCGCTTGCACACGTTCACAAAAAGGCTCTTCTGGACTCATGCACAAGCCAGGACGCTATTGATTGGCAATTAAGATTAACAGAATTAGCAGGTGGGGCTATAGCTTGGCGCCCGTGAGCACGCCCGACGCCACGGCCTTGCGGCCCTTGTGGACGGCCGGCGGGCGGCCCTGCACGACCTTGATGGTGTCGCCGGCCAGCCGCTCGTCCTCAATGCACCGCACCATCTGCGCCACCACCTCGTCCACCGTCAGCAGCGCCCCGCGCTTGAACTCGGCGCTGCCCTCGACCAGCGGGTTGCGCACAAACGCCGTGTCGGCGTAGTTGGGCGCCACCGCGTTGACCCGCACGGGCGGCTCCAGCTGCGCCAGCGTCGCGCACGCCGCCGTGAAGCTCACCAATGCGCTCTTGGCCGCGCCGTACACCGGCCCAAACTCCATTGGGAAGAACGCCATCATCGACGACACATTGACCACGCAGCCGGGAATCCCCGCCTCGTTGAAGTACTGCACGGCCAACCGTGTGCCCTCGATGGCCGCCTTCAAGTTGATGTCGATGGCGCGGGAGTGCGCGCTGCCGTCGGTGTCCGTCCACAGCAGCGTGCCCACGACGCCTGCGTTGTTCACCATGATGTCCAGCACGCCGAACTCGTCCACCGCCCGCGTAACCAGCGCGCGGATGTCGTCGAACCGCCCCACGTCGCACTTTTGGAACACCGCCACCTTCTCGCCGCTCCACTCGTTGAGCCGCGAGGCCACCTCGGCGCCTGCGTCGGATATGTCGCCCAAAACCACCTTGCCGCCCAGCTCCACGATTATCTCCGCCAGTCGCCGCCCAAACCCATGTGCTGCCCCCGTGATCACCGCTACCTTGTCTTCAATACGCATGTCTTATCGATATACTATAAACACCCCCCAAATGCACGGTTTCAAAAAGAAAAAGGGATAAAAATTTGACAACCCCCCCTTCCGCCCGTCTCGTCTGACCACGTTTTTATACCACCACAAATATCCGCTGGTCTTCCCCCAATTTGTCACATGTCTGCTATGCATATAAATAGTACCCCCCTTTCATAAGCGCTTTGCAGACTGCTTTAGAATTTCTTCCAAGAATAACTAAAATCACAATAAAAACGCGGGACTATGTTTCAAGATCTCCTTTTTAAAAAGAAAATGATGCTAAAGGATTTCATAGATCTCTCCTTTGAAAAAAGGTGCTTTCTACTGTACAAGATATCGTCATCTTTTGTCTTATCTCTCGGTAACAACCTTTTATTGATAACAGTACCGATAAACCGTGCATGTCTTGGTATTATCGTTTTTTTAAAACAGAGTGCTAGCATACGCTAAACGCTCTTTTTTAAAAGTTTAAAAATGGACGCTATGACTGGCATTTATAAAAAAAATTAGTGCATGCAATCGCACTGGCAACGGATCGGCCGAGGCAAGTCCCAATCAATTGCCCACCTCGCGCACGGAACTGAGATTATTGAGCGATTGCCGTCCCCTTTGCCTTCTCCCGTTAAAAAACCGGTTTTGAATTCTACCGAGAAAAGCTTAAACTCGTACCCCTTTTTTCCGTTTGCTAATTCCGCAACGCTAGCTCGCGCTAACTTTTTGAGCGATAAAGCTAAAAGGAATAAAGGAGACAAAATGCCTTACTTTGAACTAGCGTTATTTTCTGCGTTGATTCTAGCTGATAGTGCATCTGTCGCTGGGGAGTATTTTTTCCCGGCTCTATCAAGTTGTTGTAGGACTCCGATTTCAACCGACACCGAAAAAAGAGGTGTTCATTTGTAGATCGCGTTTTCCCGGACTAGGTCGATTGCTCGTTCGCCGGTCTTGCATCTAGATAAAAAGCTTCTTTTGTCCAACGGATTTGTAGGAAAGTTCAGAAAGACAAAAATAAATGTTGCGCAACCAAAACGCGTCTTTCAAGTGCTTGGCTGAAAAAAATCCTTTCACCCGATACTGCAAGACTCGGCTAATCTTCTTTCCCTTCGTTATCATCTTTTTCCTGATAGCGGAGACCCGCTTTAATCTTTAGCCACGCGCCTCCAGAATCTCGGGTACGTTCATTGGTGTTCTGTGTGCTTCTGTGCTAACAAAACAATAAACCACAAGCTAATAATAAACGCGAAGCCTTATACCTTCAAAACACATGCTGAATGTGCTTCCACAAAATGTGGAGCCAAAAAAAGCGACGAGGCAATCCTAAAGCCCATGTGAAAGCCTTCAGCAATCAACAACCACAGCTTTTTGTACGTTTACAACCAGTCTTGATTGCAGAAATAAACAGGTCGATCATGTACCAGAACACAAAAATGGAAGAGATAACAGATTCATATCTACCTTCAATATGGTGCAGCAGCCGCTTTTGGTAGGCGATTGGCTTTCTTGCGAGTTGTATTCCAATAGCTGCTCACATACACCAGGTTTAAGAAAGAAAATGACAATCTGAGCCATATATTAGTAACTGCAGCCCGCATATACACAAGATTCGGGCACTAGCTGACAATGTAGTGGAAGACCAATATACCATCACAGCCCTTACAACTCTGACCACCACCATGGGTTACCTGCTACATAAGCGCACAATAGAGCATACAGTGTGGTTCAACAGGTACATTGAGTCTGCTGAACTGCAAACATCATATCTGTTGCAGTAACAGCCACTAAAGTGAAAGCACAGTTATCACACAGCAGCACAGAAGGCACAAACATGTCCTCAATGCACTGTTTTTTTTGCATCCCAGTCTCTATTTGAAAACGCATATAGCCAGTGCACTATTGTGTCTAACATGTTTCCATCATTTTGAAGATAATACTAAATAATGAGCATGCAGTTAGCACTTGGCGAGTGGTACAGGCACAGAGGATTCAGATTTACTTCTGCAATGCTGATCATTAGTGCAATCCCATTGAGTGGCCTGAATTGCAACTGTGCATCAAGATAAATGCAGCAGCTGTTGTCAGCTGTGGCAAGCTTGCAGGCCCATGCCCAATGTGCTGGCTAGTTTTGAAAAGTGTGACAAGGTCTTAAAGCACCTAGTCTGTATATTCCTCAAATATGACACAATTTGGGACATTGATCCTCATCTTGTCAAGTGCTTGCCATTGCTTATTACACACAGCATTTCAACAATGGCTGAGTAGGAGACGTAGTGATAGAAGCACCTGACTCTCCACATGGTTTTAAACTCTGGCATGCTGGATGCTGTATGAGATGAGCCAGTGCAACATCTTCAGCCAACCTTGCTGCAGACAGGTTTTCAGTTATGATAAATTAAACCAATCATTTTCAATCAGCAACTCTCCAGTGGCTCTAAAAAGTGTATCAATGTTTCACACATTTCTGTATATCAGGTGATTGCTTTGGCTAAAGACCAGCTAGAACTACCAGGTTAATTTATTTTTTAGAAAACCTTAAAGGAATAGGAGGATAGCATTTCAAACCTGTAGCTGCATCATCACTAAAGATATGAGCTTTTGCATCAGACAAGTCCATTGATACATTTTGGAGCCACTGTAATAGTTAATCTTTGTTAATGAGCTAGCAGAAGCACTATTAAATTGCCAAATCAGTTTGACTCCTGTATTGTTTAGTAAATTGACAGGCTGTGGCTAACACTCTTACTGTTTCTGCTGCTGTCAACTGGTTTGGTTGCAGAATCTGCACCATAGTCTCTCTGAAATGCATATACTATACTCTTCAGTTGATTCTATGACTGGAGGTAAATTTTTTGGCCTTCGTATCAAGGGCAATGGCTGTTAAGGAGGCAGCTCATGCAGGTTAGACACCCAAGCAACTCAATATCCAGCCAAACAACAACAAGGAGTTTATATTTCACACTTTTGCTTCATATTCAAATGGGTGCCCCATATTAGGAAAAATAAGATTTTAACTATGTTACACAAATTGATTTTGAGCATCAAATTCATGCTTAGATTATACTGTAAGTTAAATGCTTAATTGCTTGTTTGCAATTTAGTATATATCATGCTGGTATAATATTATTGCCAAATTGATTACCCATTTGATTAATTGCCATAGTAGTTGACATGCCATTGGGAAAATCAGTGACACGTTCCAACAAAATAAAGGCACAAAACTGGTAGACTGTCTATGTGGTATTAAATACAACAATTTAATAACTTGCAGCTTTATCATAGCAAAAGTGGCAAAAAATGCCAAAAACAAATTGTAACAACAAGTGGAGCCGCCGGGTTTCGATCCCGGTACCTCATGCATGCAAAGCATGCGCGCTACCAATTGCGCTACGGCCCCAATCAAGTGAGTCACCAATTCCGTGACAATCTACAGGCTAGATATAGCAAGAAATATATATATCAAATAAAATAATAGCTGCAAACAATTTTATTATTTGCAGCCTATTACTCTGTTTATAGTCAGTTCTGTCAATAATTCCGAGTGTACTGAGCAGCATATCACTACAAAACCGCAGTATCAATGCTTTTTGGTGCACAATGGTCACTGTGGAACTTCTAACATATTATTTCCAATTCAATCACATTTAAGATGTTCAGTTTATTCAGAATTCTGCTAAAAGCCATATTGAACACAGAGATTGCATAAGCCAACAGTGGCACATTCTTTGATTTACAGTAACTTGAAAGTGTATAAGTGTTTACACATTAATGGTTTAAAGCAATTACTTAGACTGTAGGCCAGCTAGATCTGCTGGGTTAGATTTACTAGAAAATATGGCAATAGTAGTACATTGAAGAAAAAGTCCATGGGATAGCTTTATTTATTCCTTGGATATAAGCTGTTGAGTATGGCCAATCCATGGTTATAAAATTTTCTAGCAACTCCAGAGATCCATAAATTATCAGAACCCATCAATACTAGTCAATCCAATACCCCTAG